TAATAGATATTTTACTATGTTAGAAGCAAATATCTATTAAAAATAAAGAAATTTAAATTGTTTATTTTGCCTAGAATATTAATAATTTTTAAGATTGTGAAAAGTGCTTACTATCTCGAAAATTTGATAATTAAATTTATTATATGTAACTTTGAATTTAGTTTTATTAAATGAATATTTTAACATATAGTTTTAATATTAAATACTCGTTGAATAAAACTAAATTCGAATTCGTAAAATGTTAATATCAATACAATTTCGTAATATGAAGCATAATTTTTTCACTTTGAATAAATTTTAGCTAAGTACATTTGAATAAGTACAATTATTAAAATATAGTCAACAGCAACAAAACTTTTTAAAATATTTAAACGTAAAACTATGAGAATTTAATAGGTTCATTGTATTAAATAAATGAATTATTAACTTTCTTGAAAGTATATAAACAGTAAACCAAAATAATACAATATTAACACCGGTAATTTATAGAGAACATTTCTTCTAAATTACATGTTTGGACATTTCAAAAATCTTCACTTTCCTCATTAAAAATCGCCTAGAGTTTTAAATATGATATTATATAACAGAAAAAAAAACATGTAATTACTATATTAAGTTGGAAGAAAATTATTTATATAAGATTCCAGAACATACTTCAATCCGGAAAAGAATACTAAATATAAGCAGATGATTTAAAAGTGTTATTTGTTCTTTCCTTTTGTGTAACCACATACCCGTATCTCGATTGACACAGTTTGAGGTCTAGGCAAAGCTTACTGTAGAATCTGAAAATTTTTTTTCTCTTATTTTTTGCTCTGAGCAATTTTTTCTTTACAGTGATTCATAAACATCTTTTCTTCTCTTTTAATCGCTTGAGTAATGAAGCGTATGTTGCCGTTATCAAAACGAGGGCGGTCTCCGCCCTTTGTAGTATAAATAAGGAAGAAGCTTACCAGCTCTCATAGTTGAAACAAGATGCAAATTAAAACTTTGGTAAGTCTTGTGAATTGTTTTGGTAATAGCTGGAAAATGATATCCAGACAAACATTTTACATTGGTTATTATATAATAATATATCTAGTAATGTTTTATATCGACAGATCGTTTGCGTAGCGCTAGCCACTCTCTTGGTAGTAGCACACTGTGCACCTGCTCAAAACAATGCAAATACTGATACCTTCATCCTCATCCCAGTGGAAGCTGTTCAGGAGAATGCCGATCAAGATACAGCAGAATCGAGAGATTTAGTGGCTTCGGCGGGACATCACAGTTACGATGTTCACGGACATTTAGATAAAGGTGCATATACAGGACATCACGGTTCTTTCGGATGGTATGCAGATTACCCAGTAGGAGGAGGGCATCATCATCACTATTAAATGAAACCATTTAGATGTTGAGTAAATTCACGTCTATTGTATTGTATATAAATAGTTGGTGATGGCACTTTTCAGTTTATTTTTCCCGATATTTTTCAGTTGTAATTATTTAAAATTTTTGTTAAGTAAATTTCCGGTACATAAAATTTTTCAAGCTATTTGGATTATGCTTCAAATTCCCTATTCACTTCGATACAGAAGACTTTATAAAATTATTTATTAAAATATTTTATTAATTTTCTGTTTTAATTTGTTAATTAATAATTATGTATTTATAAATTTACGAAAACTTAACTTCAAAGAAACTATGTTAAAATTTAATTTTGTAAATTACTTCCTTTTAATCTGATTTAAACAAATAAATTGTTCAGTTTTAATTATTTGTAATTTTTATATACTTTTCACATGTAAAAATTATTCTTAAAACGTCATTAAAAAAATTAAAATTAAAAAATGCCCGTGTTCTATATTTTAACCATGTTTGATTTCTTATTCTGTGAGCTATTTAACGGTTGTCAAACAAAAAATAGTCATCATTTTCACCATCTGGTACCATATTTGGAACAATGACCTTTATTCAAAGTTTACTCTCAAAATATAAAACAATTACATACTTTTTACAATTAAGAAAAATTGGGTTGTATTTATGCATTAACTTTTTAAATTGTAATCATTTTCATTGTACCATTAAAAATTAATTAATTTAATAGCTTACTATGAGGACTAAATATTTATTTTTATTTTTTTGTAAAAGTAATATAAAAAACTTTGTATATATTGTATAATTGTTGTATAATTGCTTACATTTCTTACAACCTTGAATTAATTTCATTCAACAGGATATTTAAGTTTCTAAACTTTAAACTTTTTTTAGGAGTTTTCTATGTAATCGTACACAAAATAACTAAATAAATTTTTCGATAAGTAATTTTAATATTTATTGAAAATATAATATTTAATCATCCTGAGATATAATATGTATCTGCATGATTCAATTTTTATGTAGAAACAATACATATAAAATACATGGAAATTAAAGAGTAAAGAGGACATATTCTGAAGAAAGCTATATGATGATTATATTTGATTTATTTTTATTTTTGAAAGTAATAAAATAATGTATATTTATAGATAATCATTAGACATTGATTCTATGTAGTTTGTTTGAAAATGCCCTCTATTAATCATAACAATGATACAGTATTTTCTGTAATAGGTTGAAAATACTGTATCGCTGATATGATTAAAAGAAGAGAAAAGAATAAAGTTCAATAGAATTTGTTTTATTTGTTAAAACAGTTATTGTATAATTCTATTCATCTTCATATTTCTACCGCTTCAGCCATTTTTTAATGCTATTGTTTATTTTCTAAACTAATATTTAAAAATTAGAGCATTTAACATTCAATTCCTTAAATCTGCAATTTTGATTTCTTAAGTAGACATAGTTCAAGAAATATATTAGAAATGGCTTATTAATACATGAATACAATAGAAATGGTTATACAAATAATACAGACAATGTCCGTATTATTTGTAAACGTTTTGAATACTTTATCTAATCAAATAAAATCTTAATTGAGTGCATCTCGAGCGACTTATACAAGGATAAAATAATCTCTATAGAGTTTTAATTTGATTATGAGTAGAAAAAGAAAAAGATCAATGCGATCATTATATCTATAGCATTCCTGACAACAATACGAAATGTGGACGAGATAAACATGCAATGCTTTATATTGCAAATCAATATTAAAAACTTGTATCACACACAAACATACAGAATAAAGATAAAAATGATCAAAAAGAGTTTCTTAAAATATTCGAACGACAATTTAAAATAATTATGCAATTTTAAAATGAAAAAAATGCGGATACAACGAGATACGAAACGCATGAATGATATAAACTGTATCATTCTGAAAACTTAAGATATGATTGCATGAATATGATCAATTTTGTTATTGAGATCGTTTTCATTTGATAAGTTATTTTGAATAATCGATGTTTGAGCATGTTGAGCGATTTTATACAAAATTTTTCATATATTATATATTTAAAAAAATACAAATAGGAAACTTTAACTAAACTGAATAATTTGCAAACTTTCTTTCAATTTTTTAATCAATAAATGATGCCAAAATTTATTGATTAAAAAGATTATTAAAATTGAAAGAAAACAGTTATTTTTGTATTTATATATCAAATTTTTGATTCTCGTGAGTGTAGTATTTATAACTGATAAAAATCACAAAATAACTATTTTTCATCACATATAAGTTATATCAAATAAAAGGATAATCAATTAATTGATTGCAAAATTTAATTGATATATAAAATATACATAATATTTAATTAAATTTCTTGAGAAGTACGAATATATTACGATTTGCTTAAATATATTATTTTTAAAAAGAGGGAAAAAGAGCAAATTTAAATACCATTCTATATATTAAGGTGCTATTCGCCGAATGACGAATATTTGTCTTTTGGCCAAACTATTTGCCGAATTGTTTGTCACTCGGCGAGCACACTTGTACACACACATTCGATTATTTGCCGAGCATCGGTTGGTTGCAGGTTCGAGATCTAGAAAATAGACAATTTTCAAACAATAATTTGTGCCGCTACTTTTATAGTTCATATCTGTTAATGTAAAAAAAGCTCTTGAATCCTCTTGAAAGTTGACCTGAGCTAGATCAATCAAATATGCTAAACTTATTTTTCACGTTTGATTTTTTTACTGATTGATATTAAAGCGTTAAGAGTTATTACTATAGTAATAATAACCCAGTGACACAATATTCGAACTGCGTCAATAGGAAACTATTTTTATAGCATATTACTCAAGTCAGTTTAAACAAGAACTAAGAGTGAATATCATTCGTAATGGAAACAGTTAACTGGAATAGGAAAGGAAAAAAAACCTTTGATCCAAATTATTTATCGAAAATTATAAAGATGGATTTGAATTTAAATCACTCATAAAGATAGAGGACTTTCTTTTGCCAGGGTCTATATTTGACAAATCTTAAGAGAACGACGACCTCATTTGCCTTTCGTCAAATTCCAAATGCTGACCAGGTAATTCCTTGGTCCATATTCTATTAATAAATATTACAATATAAGACAAAGTAATGAGAAAGTTATAACAGGATATGCCCGTATCAGTACATCCTTGTTCACTGCATAATTATCGAATATTGAACTTTTATTAATAGAGACAATATTCTAAATAAATATTCTTAATAATCAATTTTGTTTATTAATTATGTTGTAATGTAATTTTTAATTCTAACTGTTTTAGACGACAGAACATCGGGATGTTACACAAAAATTTTTGAACTTAAAAGGAAAATTATTTTTTTCTGATTCATTTTCTTTTTATCTTGTTTCTTTTTTTAAATTCGCTTTACTTTTTGTTTCAATTATATATAATTAACGTAAGGTTTTCTATTTTTAATTTTTACTCGAATTTCCTCGTCTTATTAGATGTGTGTTACTGTTTCATACGCACTGAATCATTATTTCTTAATATGGGTATGCAAGATTGAAGCTCACATAGATAATCATCGAAATGTATGTATAAATAAAAAAAGTCAGATAGCAAAACAGCAATTAAAAGTAGAAAATACTTAAGTAGTTTACATATTTTATGTGGAGATATATTTTCATAAATTTTTCAAGTTAAATTTGTTTTTCAAACAAAATTATTATAAGAAAATAAACGTATATAAAAATAAAATATTGGGACCAAATTTATTCATTTTTATTTGATTTTGAATTACTTTTTTAATACTTGGGTTATATATTGTAAAAATAAGAATTATGGGCCTAATAAGGTTTATATTATTCATTATTAATCTATATATTTATTGCATGAATAAATATTGATAATTTAGATCATTTTCTCTGTAAACAATTATCATAAAAATTTTGAATTAATAAATTCAGTAAGATGTTTATTCAACTTCAAAATTCAAATAAAATAGTATAACTGTTTATTATAAGCTTGCAAGAATACAATAAAAACATTGTCAAATATAATCTAAGGATCAGAAATCTTTTCATTATTTCTACGCTCTTACTCGTATAATTTGAATATATTTTTTGATTATATTGCAGCATTCTGTATTGTCATGTATATGTTTTTATTAAGTTTAACATTTCTAGACTTTTATGTAGCGTATGTCGTATGACACAAATGTAAGAGAGGACAATAGACACGATGATGATCACTCTTTCCCACCTTCACATTGCCTTATTCTTAGGCGAGTGGAGTGTACGAGTTGATTTTTTCCATGTGTATTTTTCATGTTATGAGTGTTTGGAATGGATATGCCAATTGTATAAACGATCTTATTGCATTTGTCAATGATTTTATTATTTTTATTATTTAGTAATAAAAGAAAGAGCAAAAAAATTAGACAATTTTCTCAAAAATTTTATTTCATCTAATGTTATAACAAAAAAATCAATAGATGTTAATTATAAAATATTATTTCCATTCTCGTTTTCCCGCTTTATAAAATATATTATAAATTAAAAAAAAAATTCTTATGGTAAATATTACAAATTAAATTATGTGCAAAATTAAATTAAAAACAAAAAGTTGTAAATGTTATAATTGTACAAATATTATGATCATATAACTAAAAAATACCTTTATTAGTAAGGTGATATGTAGAACTGAATTTAAATTAATTAATTTTAAATAAAATGTTTTGTTATATTGAAAACAGTTACATGTAAAGAAAACAGTTTTAATTTTAATTAAAGTTATGAAGATAAAACATAATTACATTTATATTATTTCTTTATTTAAATTATGATAAACCTAATAAAAACAAATTTCTGATTCGACTTAAATTTATATTTAAATAGAGTAAAAATTGTTATAAATTTAAATTTAGAAAACTGTAATTAAAAGTTTTCATTTACTTTATGCTTTATCAATGGGAAACGTTAACTAAAATAGTGATCCTGTTTGTGGCGCCATC